TGGTCTCCCATGGGGTGCAGGGCCCAAGCACTTGGGCCATCCTCCACTGCACTCCCGGGCCACAGCAGAGAGCTGGACTAGAAGAGGAGCAAATGGAACAGAATCCAGAATCAGAATTTACTGATAGGATTATTGTTAATCCGCTCATGTCAAATAGAGTTCTCAGTTGCAAGAAATGGAAGCCAACAGTGATTGATTTAAAAACAAAACCCTATTTTTTTTAAATTTATTTTATTTTTACTTATTTTTTTTTTATTTTTTGACAGGCAGAGTGGACAGTGAGAGAGAGACAGAGAGAAAGGTCTTGCTTTGCCATTGGTTCACCCTCCAATGGCCGCCACGGCTGGCGCGCTGTACCGCGCCTATCCGAAGGCAGGAGCCAGGTGCTTCTCCTGGTCTCCCATGCGGGTGCAGGGCCCAAACACTTGGGCCATCCTCCACTGCACTCCCTGGCCACAGCAGAGAGCTGGCCTGGAAGAAGGGCAACCAGGACAGAATCTGGCGCGCCGATTGGGACTGGAACCCGGTGTGCCGGCGCTGCAAGGCGGAGGATTAGCCTAGTGAGCCACGGCGCTGGCCAAAACAAAACCCTATTATTTAAAGGATGTTGAATAGTTCACTGAAACTTAAGGTGGAAGTGTCAGGACAGGCTTGGAAAGAGAAAAAAAAAAAAAAAAAAAAAACCAGAGAACCAAATTTCAGTAGACAAAACAGGAAAATTTAAAGAAAAATACTCAAAAAAATAACAAACACCACTACATTTTCAACAATATCATAAAGCTTGTATTACCCATTCAACCATCACAGAACAGAGTGGAAGCTGCCACAGGAACTGCTGCCCACTCTGCCTCTCACTGCTGGCTGTAAACTTTGCTACCCATCTCCAAAATGCATCCTTTGGGCCTTGCTTCTTTGTATCTCTGCCTATTCAATCAGAGGCTAATGGGAATGCACAAACCGGCAGAACTCCCAGGAAGACTAGAGAGTATCTTGCATTTTATGTTCTATTTAAGTGTGGCTATGTGCCACACTAATAGAGGAATAGAATTTGGCTGCTAGGAAACCAGAAAGATTGACAAAGGCTCACTACAATCTCAGCATATCAAGAGTATTTTTATTTATTAAGTTTGAATTTAAAATTATTCCTTGTAATTTTTTCTGTTAAAAATCTTTATTTGAATGGAAGTATTGAGGTACTATTAAATTCCTTCCATTCTCTTTTGGACATTTAGGCTTCCTTCTGTTTTGAGAATCATGTTCATGCTGGGTTAATTTTTAAGCCAATTTGAAATTTTTTTGCTTCAATTCACTTCTTTAGAATTGTCATAATAATGGTTATAATTGTATATTATTATGTCTTAGTTCTTATTTGCTGTTTGTCATACTTATTTGACTTGTACTCTCTACTTTTTTTTGTTACATTGAAGATTTTCCATCTATGGGTTTATATTTTATCTTCCATATTTTCCATCTATGGGTTTATATTTTATCTTCCATTTTTCTTACTAAATTTTATTCATTTCTCAATATATTAAATATAACAATATTTATGTTGTTTCCTGGATTAGCATGTTCTTATCTCAGTTTACTCTCTTGGTGCTACTCCCACTTCCCACTGCCATATAACTCTTGTGTTAGTCACCACAGTGACACTAATAACATACAAGTATTTAAATTGCTTTAATTAAGCAATATTTTAAATTTTGTTTCTTAGTCTCATTAGCTATATCTCAAGTGATCAGTAGCACCACATTTCTAGTGGATTATGTATTGAATGGTACAGAGATGGCATATTTTCAACATTACAGGGATATTTTTTGCACAATACTGGGCAAGACTTTAATTTGTAGATAGTTATGGACATCCTTTTCAAATATGTTATTCTTACTTATTTAGACAGCAGTAAAATTTATTATTTTCCCCAAATCCCTGTGTTTCTCCTGGGTTTGCTTTTACTCTTAACTGAATGTCTTCAAAGACTGTTCTCCAAGAGGAAGTTTGTATGTTTAACATTAGGATTTTTTCATTCATGATAACATCTTCAGCTTGAACTTGAATGTCAATAATTTCTGATATAAAATTCTAAGTTTAAGAAAGGTATTTTGCCTAGCAGTTAAGATGTTGCTTGGGACTCCTGCATCTCTCTGCCTTTCAAATAAATTAAAATAGACTTTAAAATAATTTTAGGTTTAACACAAATTTACTTGATCACTTTGAACCTAATTTTTCACTGAGAACCTAGCTGTCTTCTGAGATCTACTGACTTGATTGAGAAGTTTAGGGACAAAATCAGAATTAATCGAAACACTGGCCCCAGTTCATTATTCTTTCTCTTTCCAGGTTTTTTGCATACAACTTTGTAGTTCCTCACATGAAAACCATGGCATCCCTTGAACTTAGATTTGCCCACATGACTGACTCCAGTCAATGGCATGTGTTTGAATTGACAGTATGTTGGAATGAATTTGGGATTTAAGAGACTTCCAGAGTTTACACTTCCCCGTTTGCATTTCTGCAATCACTATGAAAGGAGTTTACCATAGTTACAGCTGCCTTTCCAGCCTAGAATCAGAATGAATAAACGCAAAGCAGATCGGAAGCCTATCCAGCAATGAGAAGCACATATAATTGCTTGGACTCAGCTAGCTGGGTGCAATGCAGATCAGCTAACCCCCAGCAAATCTAAAGATACATGAGAGATAAATGTTGTTGCATGCTACTGAGACTTTTATGGCCTTCTGCTGTGCAGCCTTATGAAACAATCACTAATTGATACAATTCAATCTTTTCTCCATTGGGTAATTTGTTTTTCCTCTCTAGAGAAGTTTTAGAATTTTCTATTTGTCTTTGTTATTCACAAATTTCCCTGTGGCATATTTAGACAGCTTCCCCCTTACATACTTATTTGACCCTATTATGAAACCCTTAATCTTTGACTTTTCTTTGTAATTCTGGAAAGTCTCCAGTCATTATTCTTCCAATAGTTTTCTATTCAATCTACATAAGTACTCACATTTATATTTCTGCTTCCATACAACTTACTTTATTCTCTATCTTCATTTCCTCTGCTACCTTCTGGAAGAACTCTGGAAGGCAGTCTTCATCTTATGAATGTTTTTTTTTTTTTTTTACTAGTGTTATTCAATAACCCTTCTTATCCTTTTAAATATTTATGTTAAAATTATATTTTATTATAAAATATTTCCAATTAGTTCTAACTCTCCTCTCCTTGTGAATTAATGTCATTACTTTTAATGCTCCTCAGGAAAAAAAATGTTTAGAATATATCCTATCTGCCTCTAGATGAGTTCTGAGGGGGAATGGTTTCAAGGCAAAGAACCTCCAGTGTTATGTTGCAAGTTAGCCTTTACTTGTTATCCTCCTCAAGCATCTCTTGACCCACAAAACCACCAAGAACTTAACACTAGGCATAGTTCTTCCCTGGGGACCCCCATATGTTTTGTTAGCTACTTTAGTGGGTATGGGAGGTGGTAGGGGAAGTTCCTGGCCCTGCTGGTCAACCTGGATTTCTGTAAGAATTGGATCACTTGGGGCTGGCGATGCGGCATAACGGATAAAGCCACCAATTCTAGTGCAGGCATCCTATATGGGCGCTGGTTCCAGTCCTGGCTGCTTCACTTCCAAACCAGCTCTTTGCTGGATCATAGCAAAGACAGCCTGTGAAGATAGTAGAAGATGGCCCACGTCCTTGGGCCCCTGCACCCCATGTGGGAGATCTGCAAGAAGCTCCTGGGTCCTGGCTTTGGATCAGCCCAGCTCTGGCCACTGTGGCCATTTGAGGAGTGAACCAGCAGATGGAAGATATCTCTCTCTCTCTCTCTCTCTCTATCTCTCTGTAATTCTTCCTTTCAAATAAATAAATAAATCTTAAAAAAAAAAAAAAGAAAAAAGAATTAGATCACCCAGCCCTTGGACTTTGCTAGCCCTGTGTCATTGGCTTTCCTGATCCATAGGAGCTCAGGAAAGGCAACTGAAATGCTACCTGGATGGGTAAGAGATATGGGCATAAAGAGAAAACTTTCCCCTAGTCTAACTATATGGCCTCACTTTTGGATACTGCTCTTTGCCCCCAAAACCTCCGACTTATCGACATACACACACTCTACAACCCAACAACTTCAGTCTTCCCAAAGGTTCCTTAGCTCTCTGAGTTACTTATTAAGAGTGATTCTACAATCTACCTACTCTTTTATCTCTTGTGGGTAATATCCAAGAATCCATTTGGGAGGATGGGCCAGAAGCTTCTGAAATCCACCAACATGTGCCTCAGACATTTTTATAAACATTAAAAGCTCCCAAAGTATTTAAAAGATGACCATTCCATGGTCACAAGGATAGTCCCAAATTATATATTTATAGTCATTCTTTTTTTTTTTTTTTTGACAGGCAGAGCAGACAGTGACAGAGAGAGACAGAAAGGTCTTCCTTTTGCCGTTGGTTCACCCTCCAATGGCTGCCGCGGCCGGCACGCTGCAGACGGCGCACAGTGCCCATCTGAAGGCAGGAGCCAGGTGCTTATCCTGGTCCCCCATGGGGTGCAGGGCCCAAGCACTTGGGCCATCCTCCACTGCACTCCCTGGCCACAGCAGAGAGCTGGCCTGGAAGAGGGGCAACCAGGACAGAATCTGGTGCCCCGACCGGGATTAGAACCCGGTGTGCCGGCGCCGCAAGGTGGAGGATTAGCCTACTGAGCCGCAGCGCCAGCCTAGATTCATTCTTAAGTAAGTGCATGGATTTAAAATAAAACTGGAAATCTTCTGGCAGGAACTCCTTGAGAAATGACTTGCACTAATTTGAAGAACAAATACCAAGCACCACTGTTACAACTCCTTGATTATCATAGTTTTATTTTTTCCTTTATCTTATTCATAAATCATTATTCTTTTTTAAAATTTTATTTAAGGTAAACAAGTTTCATGTATTTCATATATACAGATTTAGGAACATAGTGATACTTCCCATCCTACTCTCCCTCCCACCCATACTGCCATCCTTCTCCCACCTGCCACTCCTATTATCTTTCTTAATTTTTACAAAGACCTATTTTCAGTTTACTTTATATTCATAAAGTTAACCCTACACTAAGTAAAGAGTTCAACAAATAGTGTGAGGAAAAAAACACTGTTCCTCAACTGTAGAGACAAGAACAGGAAACAATCATCACATTTCAAAGTGTCCTTTTTACTCCAATACATTACATTTTAGGTACTCTATTAGTTACCATAGATCAGGGAAAACAAATGGTGCATCTCATTTTGAGGCTGGCTTATTTCACTAAGTTCTCAGTTACATCCATTTTGTTGTTAAAAAAAAAAAAGAATCTCATTTTTTACAGCTAAGTAGTACTCCATAGTGTATACATACCATAATTTCTTTATCCAGTCATCAGCTGATGGATATCTTGGTTGATTCCATGTTTTAGCTATTATGAACTGAACTTCAATGAACATGGGTGTACAGATAATTCTTTCATATGCTGATGTCTTTGGTTTGGATAAATTCCCAGGGGTGGGTTGACTGGATTATATGGTAGGTCTATATTCAAATTTATAAGGTATCTCCATACTGTCTTCCACAGTGTCTTCACCATTTTACATTCCTTCCAAGAATGGATAAGGGTATCTTTTTCTTCATATGCTTACCACCATTTGTTATTCATTGATTTCTGTATGAGAGCCATTCTAACTGGAGTGAGGTGAAATCTCATCATGGTTTTGATTTGGATTTCCCTGATAGTTAGTGATCCTGAATATTTTCTCAAATGTCTGTTAGCCATTTGAATTTCCTCCCTTGAAAACTGCCTGTTGAAGTCCATTACCCATTTCTTAAGTAGATTGCTTGTTTTGTTGTTGTTAAATTTCTTGAACTCTTTATAAATTTTGGATGTTAACCCTTTAACAGTTGCGTAGTTTGCTAATATTTTCTCTCACGCTGTTGGTTGCCTCTTCACTTCGCTGAGTGTTTCTTTTGCAGTGCAGAAGCTTCTCCGCTTGATGTAAGACAATTTGTCAATTTTGGCTTTGATTGCCTGTGTTTCTGGAGTCTTTTCTAACAAGTCTTTGCCTATGCCAAGTCTTGCAGGGTTTCTCCAATGTTATCTAGTCATTTAATGGTACTGGATTGTAGATTTAGGTTTTTGATTGATTTTGAGTAGATATTTGTTTAAGGTGTAATGCAGGGGTCTTGTTTCATACTTCTGCATGCTGAGATCCAGTTTTCCCAGCACCATTTGTTGAAGTCTGTGCTCCAGGGATTGATTTTAGCTCCTTTGTAAAGGTCAAGTTTGTAGATGTGTGGATTGATTTCTGGAGTTTCTATTCTATTCCATTGGTCTACATGTCTGTCTTTATGCCACTTCCAGGCTGTTTTGATTATAACTTCCCTGTAGTATATCTTGAATTTGGGTATTATGATGCTTCCATGCTTGTTTTTGTTGCATAAGTTTGCTTTCGCTGTTTTGAATATATTGTGTTTTCATATGAATTTCTGCATCGTTTTGCTCTAGATTTGAGAACATAGTATCTTGACTGGGATCTCATTGAATCTGTGAATTGCTTTCAATAGTATGGGCATTTTTATGATATTGATTCTTTTTCAATTTATGTATTGTCAGTCTCTCTCCATTAGACTCTAAACTCCTAAGGACCCAAAGATCATGTCCATATTGCTCTCTACCCAATATATCTAGGAAATGGGTGTTAAATAAATAATAAATCATTATTTATCATTAATAAATATTTGTTAAAAAGATGGATGCCTCTTCTTGGGAAATTTAATAATCTTATGTAATTGTTGGATTTCACATATATAAAAAGCTTGCTATTCATATATATAAAAAGTCTCGCTGTTCACACTAAACCACTCTCTTAGTTCACATTGCTATTACAAAATATAAACCGGTGGTTTACAAACAACAGAACTTTTTTACAGTTTCAGAGAAACTTAAGCATCAAAAGCAAGATACTGGTAGATTCAACATCTAGCGAGAACCTGAATTTTACTTCATAGATGGAGACTTCTAACTGTACCTTCACATGATGGAAGGACATCATTAGCCCCCTAGGGACTATTTCCTAAGGGCACTAATATCAATTATGAGGCCTCATATCTTGGTCCCCTCTCAAAGTCACATAACATTGTCACCTTGGGAATTAGAATTTTAATATATGAACCTGGGATAGAGGAGACACACAAACATGCAGACAAAATACGCACTTATATTTCTTTTGCAATATTTTTACTATTCTGTAATGGTTTGCCTTTTTTCAAAATTAGATTTTGAAAAAAAACAGAACAAGTAGAAGTCATGCAATAAATGTGAATATTTCCTCAGAAGAATGATTAAAGATGTTAATACCAGACTTCAGCCTTTCCATAGTGCTTCTTACAAGGCAGCATGTACCCTTCTGCTTCAAATCACCTTCCAGATCTAGGCACTCTTCTTTGGGACCTTGTGTTTGCTTCTTCCTGATGTTTACAACGCTGTTATGAAATTATGGATGAATTCGGCTGCAAACCTCAATCACTCTGTGAAGGGAGATCCCTGAATTAACATTCATCTTCTTACTCCCACTATCTAATGATATATTTGGAGCATAGTAAATATTCAAGCAATGTGTATTTAACTAAGAACTCAACAGAACTATGACCCAGGCCAAATAAATGATGATTAAAATCAGCTCCATGTGAATATCTGAAGAATAGCTGCAACCTCTGTAATACCACAATCTATCTTGAACATTGTTTTCTTATTGAGAACCTAGGTTAAACGACCCTTCAGACTACAGCTGCCTTCCATCACTGTGTCCCATGAGAAGTAGGAACCAAGTTACATGCAAAGCAAACTGAAACCACTTCAAGGTCATGTCCCTGATGTCAGTTCTTTGGAAAGGAGACGATGTCATATTTTATTATCTGTAAGTTCCAACAATAAAAAATAATTCCTTTACTTGAGAACTGTGATGCTCAGATCCTAATGCTACACTGGCATAGGATTTAGGAAGAAGATGTGTTTTGGAGAGAATCTGACAATGCACCGAAGCGCTGCAATCCGCTTTTCAGTCTGTCTTGGCACTAGCCTAATTCTGTTTCCAGAAGTTCCACTAGGAGGGGTGAGACTAAAGATGTCCTCCTGCTATGGTCTTTTAATTTTTTCTTTGGAAATTCGGTAAATGACATAGCAGTGTGTACTTTGTCATTATCGCCAGAGAGATATAGTGTTTATACCAATGTTTCACTTCACACAAAATCAAGGACATTCAGTATACAAGGAGAAAGTATGCATCAGAATAAAAGGATGTTAGATTTTGCTTAACATTGTGCACTTACCTTAAGATACGCCTTTGGTTTGGACTCATGTATATGCTGCAGTCTTGAGAGGGTAAATAAACAGATAATATGATTACATGCCAGGCAGTAAAATATTACTCAAAATTTCAGACACTGCAGAAGCAAAAGCAGCTTGGGCAATCTCACAGCATGTGGAAGGGATAAAAAGCATGCTGAATCCTGAGCATCTGTCAGCTTGCTATTGAATAATACAATTTTGTTTTTCATTTCAGTAAAATTTAATAACGCAGCATGACATTAAAATTTTCCCTCTGTAATTTGTATGGTATGATTCTTGATTTTATGTCAAAGGAGTCCCTTATAGACAACTCTGTATTTTAAAAGTAAAAAATCTCCTTCCAACATAACTAGGCCCTAATGGAGAAAGCTTCATCAAGTCCTGCCTTGACATCAAATTTGGCTCTCTAGGAGATCTCAGGAGATTATTCCCCAAGACAGGCTCTCCAGATGTGTCTCTATGATTTAGCATTGAATTTACACATGCTACTATTCATACTTGAGGCAACACAAAACTCAGTAATGTTTTATTGATCTCACTTCAAAAAAATGAAAGCTAAATTGGTGGGAAGAGATTGGTTCTGCCTGGATATATTTGATAACACAGACCCTGAGGGAAGATCATTAGTTCTTAACTGGGAAAAAGAATTAACCTTACTGTTGTGCCCTCCAGCTGTGTCTGCTTGTCTTATCTTGAGAGTGGCTGCAGGACTCTGTATTAAGGCATCAGGCAGACCTGGGTGTCATGGAATCACATGGGGTTAAGTAACCAATGAGAGGTTGTTGCTAAGGAGAGATTGTGATGTATGCTAATTGAATCACAGTTGATATTCAGTTTTTTAAAAAGAAATAATTCCCTCTCTTTATCTCTGAACCTCTTCTTTCTGTCATGCTTTTAGTATTAGGTATTGTACATGTTTCTGATGACGTCATTATTGCTTTTTTATCCTTATTTATCCAGCTCTTTGTTCTGGCCTCTCTGTCTTTACATATTTCATCCAAATTTTACATTCTATCACATTCTCTCTACTACCCAAATCGCCACCTGCCATTCTTTCATTGATATATTGTTAGTGATTCAGTTAACATAAAATCTAAGATAAGGTAGTAAATGTATTGCACCACACATCGAGGGTTTCAAGTGATAAGTTGTGGTGCCTACATCAGTGCAGAATCCTGGAGTGAAAGTCTGGACAAAAGCCCAAGCATTAGACTGTCTGGTATCATTCTTGCCCCAGGGTTACTTCCTTCTGCAGGACTCCACTGAAGGGGCATCCACAGAAATTCTAAAACATGATGACTTGTGCAACATCCTCAGAATGATACTGTGCTCCTTGCTCAATAATTATTTGTAGGTTATAAATAATAAGAAATCAGTCATTGCTCTTTGTGTAAAATAATATATATGAACTTTTTCTTACAGTCCAGTGAGAGAAATCAAATTTACAAGAGCCCCAATGGTTGGAGTAAATCCACACTCACATCCAAACATGTCTCACAAACCCATGTCACATTAAAATAGCATTTGCTGTTTTTCTCCTCTGTCCCCACAATGGGTTCATGTTTGTGTGTATGTGTGTCTGTGCATGTGTGAGTGTGTGTGTTGAAGCTGAGTATTAAAGGATGAATTCTTTGTTGACTTTCGATATGCATTACATTCTATCCATAATATATAAATACCCTTGGAAAAAAGACAATGTTATTTCTCATAACTTCTCATGTCCTAAGTAGTATTTTAAATATTTGCTATTGATTTGTACTGACAAATCAGATCATCAAAAACTGAAATCTCTTTAATCACTATTTACTTTAACTCCATGTCTAGGCCAAGAGACTGTACCAAAACAAATAAAACTTCTTGTTCCTGAATATAAAGTCAAATTAGTTCTGTTATTCCACTGTATTTGTAAATATCTTTGTGTTCTAGTCAATACTTGTGATCCATGAGCATAATTAATAAGCTAGTATTTATATAATAGTATATATAAGAGCTAATAAATATCTGCCCTTCCTTGGACCAATGGTGACTTGAATTTGTTCATTTTCAATCTCACTAAAATGATCTCTTGTTATGCTCTCCCTTCTGTGGGACTCAGAGTGGGGTGCCTGAGACAGGCCAGGACAAACAGATGTGAGCTGGCTTCACACCCACAGAGTGAGCATCCACAAGGTAGGACCATCAGGTCTGTGGGGGAGAAAATCGGTTTTGGTCTCTGTCAGCTGCCCTGTGAGGTGATTTTACATTTTTATTGTGAGACACTTTGCTTTGCATTTGGCGCTGAGCTACCCTAGAAGTGTGCAGAATGTTTATGACATGCTGATATGCTTGTGATTTGCATTATCCAACTCTATTTGGAAACTGGTGCAATCATAGAGAAAAAAGTAAAAGCAAATATTATGATCCCAAATATGTAATTCCTGTTATTCACGGTCATTTTTCTTTTGAAAATGATTGCTTTGATATCAAGTGCTGACATGTATTTGTTGGAAAGCAAGAATCATCATTTCTGTGGCTTATTTCCTAGGGTATGTGTGACCAATGTTTCCTATCATCATCAATGCTTTGCCAATGTTTGCTGTTCCCAGAAACTCAGGACCTTATTTTTCATTTTCATGAAGCTGTCATGTATTTCTGGCTATGTAAGAAACTTTTGCCATCATTTCTTAAAGCCCTCAGTATCTGGCTGCACATTATGGATTCAAGCCAATTCTCTGGCTTCTATTTATTTTGTTTTGTTTTATTTTTTGTTTTGTTTTTTATTCTGGCTTATTTTAACCCATGGCTGGTTTCCTATACATGTCAAAAATTTTGTAAAATTTGCTGTTCCCAAACTGGAAATCCCCCCTTTAATTCTTGTCCTCTTCCAATACAAAACGATTTCCATTTTTTTTTTAACATGCAGATCAACTGTTTTCTGTTCTTAGGAGACTCACTTTAGACTTCAACTTACACAGATTCCTCCTTTATATTATGGATATTATTTTGTTTCTTCAACTAGATTTCGAATAACTGGAGAGTGATGGCCATTTTACACTTCTCTTGCATTCCCCATGGTATACTGTGCAGCACTAGGCACAATGTATACACTCAAACTTACATATTCACAATTTGGGTAAAGGGGCAGCATTGTGGCATAGCAGATGAAGTTGCCCACTGCGATGCCAGCATCCAATATGGGCGCCAGTTTGAGACCAGGCTGCTCTATTTCCAATTCAGCTCCCTGATAATGCACCTGGGAAAGCGGTGGAAGGTAGCCCAAGTGCTCGGGGCCCTGCACCAACGTGGAAGACCCAGAACAAGTTCCTGGCTCCTGACTTTAGCCAGACCAGCCCTGGACATTGTGACCATTTGGGGAGTGAACCAGCAGGTGGAAGACTGATTCTCTTTCTCTCTCTCTCTCTCTCTCTCTCTCTCTAACTCACTTTCAAATAAATAAATAAGTCTTTAAAAAATTTGGTTAGAAGCACTATCTCTATGTAAATTTATTATATATGTACTAATGTTATGTAACTATATAATCTATAGATACATGTGCTATATATTATTTTATGTTTATTATTATACATCACGTATTTAATGATAGTTCAAAAAGTTCATAGAAAGTGGTAAAAAACATAAGATTAATTCAAAAATTTTGAAATCCATGCATAATACTTTCATAGCTCTCACTTTTCATGAAATTTTTGACATCCTCATGCATGGATTTCAAAATGTTTGCTCAAAAATGAAAATTACCTTTTAATTCTGCTTTCCATGAACTTCTTAGTGTACCCTCATATTATACTACTATATTAAACAGTAAATTTTGCATATATAATTAAGTATATATCAGCAATATATAGAGTATAATTTTTCGTATGTCCTCAATACATTGTTGCTCGACTCAAAGTTGTCTTCACCTGGGCTACTGGAAGAAAATATCATAGACTGAGTAGCTTATAAATTGCAGAAAGTTATTTCTCACAGTTCTAGAGGCTAGGAAGTCCAAGATTCAGGAGTCAGCAGATCATGTGTCAACTGATGCTTCCTCAAAGAGCCTTCTTAGGGACAGAATTGTGGCACAGAGGTGAAGTTGCCACCTGCAACACCGATACCCCACACAAGCACTGGTTTGAGTCCCACCTGCTCCACTTCCAATGCAGGTTCTTGCTGTCACATGTGGGAAAATAGCAGATGGTGGCCCAAGTGCTTGGGCCCCTGCTACCCACATGACAGACCTCAATAGAGTTCCGGTCTCCTGTCTCAGGCCTGGCCCAGCCCTGGCCATTTGGCCATTTACAGATTGAAACAACAAGTAGAAGATCTCTCTCTCTCTCTCTCTCTCTCTCTCTTCTGTAACTCTGCTTTCAAATAAATAAGTCAATGTTTTTAAAAAAAAATCCATCTTCTGGCTGTGTCCTCTCATGATAGAACTGGGTGTGGGCGCCGCGGCTCACTAGGCTAATCCTCCGCCTTGTGGCGCTGGCACACCGGGTTCTAGTCCTGGTTGGGGCGCCGGATTCTGTCCCAGTTGCCCCTCTTCCAGGCCAGCTCTCTGCTGTGGCCAGGGAGTGCAGTGGAGGATGGCCCAAGTGCTTGGGCCCTGCACCCCATGGGAGACCAGGATAAGTACCTGGCTCCTGCCATCGGATCAGAGCAGTGCTCCAGACATTGGAGGGTGAACCAATAGCAGAAGGAAGACCTCTCTCTGTCTCTCTCTCACTGTCCACTCTGCCTGTCAAAAAAAAAAAAAAAAAAGCAGCAGAAGAAATTAAAATAAATAAATAAATAAATAAGAAGAGAACTGGGACCTCTCTCTGGTGCCTCTTCCCCCTGGTCCGAAACTTTTTTAAGGTATACAAACTTCATGCATTTCATAAACACAAATTTTTGAACACAGTGATTTTTCTCACTCCACCCTCCCTCCCACCAGCACTCCCACCCTTCTTCCTCCTCCGTCTCCTATTCCTATTCTTATTTTTTCACTAAGATCTATTTTCCATCATCTTTATATGCGTAAGATTAACCCTAAGCTAAGTACAGAATTCAAAAAATAGTATGAAAAAAACTGTTCCTCAAGAGTCGAGACAAGGGCTGTTCAAGGTCATCGCATCTCAAAGTGTCAATTTCACTTTTATAGATTACCTTTTAGTTGTTCTATTAGTTACCACAGATAAGAGAGAACATATGGTATTTGTCTTTTTGGGACTGGCTTATTTCACTGAATATAATGTTTTCTTTTTAAAAAAAAATATTTATTTATTTGGAAGTCAGAGTTTCACAGAGGGAAAAGGAGAGGCAGAGGGAGAGAAAGGACTAAATGAAAGATCTCTGTGAGTGAGATCCCAGTGGAAAGAAGGGGCCATCAAAGAAGGAGGTACCTTTCTCTGAAGGAAGGAGAGAACTTCCACTTTGACTATGACCTTGTCTAAATAAAATCAGAGTTGGTGAACTCAGGAGGCTTCCATATCTTTGGTAGCTCATGACAAGAGCCTTGGGTGATTACTGACGTCATAAATAAGAGTGTCAATTTTTAAATCAACAACAGGAATCACTGTGCACTTACTCCCCATGTAGGATCTCTGTCCTTAATGTGTTGTACTATGAGAATTAACAGTAAAACTACTACTCAAACAATACTCTATACTTTGTGTGTCTGTGTGGGTGGGAGGGTAGTTATGGGGGGAAGAACCACTATAATCCAAAAGTTCTACTTTTAAAATTTGTATTTATTAGACAAAAGTTTTCTATAAAAAATGAAAGTTATTCAATCTCCTGGTTCACTACT